TTTAATTTAATAATGGCTGTTGGTTTTCTATATATTGCTATATATTCCATTTATTATGTTTATATATGAGGCTTGAATTCCTGATCTCTCCAAGACTTTTAACATGAAGGGGTGACAGGATGTTATATTTTGTCAAATGGTTTTCACCATCTAAAGAGATGATCATGTGATTTTTTTCTTTGAGTTTGTTTACACAGTGGTGTACCTTAATGGATTTTCAAATATATTGAACCAACCTTGCATTCTTGGAATGAAGCCTATTTGATCTTGGTGAATGATGAATTCAGTTTGCTAGGATTTTATTGAATATTTTTGCATCAATATTCATAAACAAAATTGATTTCAAGTTCTCTTTCTTTGTTGAGTTTTTGTGTGGTTTAGGTAGCAGAGTAATTGTGACTTCATAGAATGTATTAGGCAGTATTCCTTCTCTTTCTATTTTATAAAATAGTTTTAAGAGAGTTGGTCAACTTTGAAGGTCTGGTAGAATACTAAAACCATCTCTCCCTGGGCTTTTTTTGTTTGAGAGGTTTTTAATGACTTCTATTTCCTTAGGGAATATGCACTTGTTTAGATAGATTACCTGTCCTTGATTTAATTTTGGTAAATAATATCTGTGTATAAAATCATCCATTTTGTCTAGATTTTCCAATTTTGTTAAGTATAGGTTTTTGTTTTAGGGTCTGATGACTTTTTTGAATTTCCTCAATTTCTAATGTTATGTCTCCCTTTTCATTTATGATTTTGTTAATTGGAAACTGGATCTAGACCTTTTAGTTAATCTGGCTAGGGGTTTATCTTTCTTGTTGATTTTTGCAAAGAACAGGCTTCTCATTTTATTCATTCTTTGTATCATTCTCTTTCTTCTATTTGGTCAATTTAGGCCCTGAGTTTAACTATTACCTGCCATATACTCCTTTTGTATGTTTTTGCTTTTTTTCTTCTAGGGCTTTCAGGTGTGCTGTTAACTTCCTAGTGTGAGATTTCTCCAATTTTTTTACAAGGGCACTTACTGCTATGAATTTTCCTCTTTGCATTGCTTTTATTGTGTCCATGAAGTGCTGAAAAGATTTTTTTTGTTTTTTGTTTTTTTTTTTAGGTTTAATTTTTTTTAAGTTTAATTGCTTTATTTCTATCAGTTAAATCCATTTGGTTAATAATCTATATTAGTTTCACTGTGCCTCTGTTTAATTTCTATTTCAATGACCTATCCATTGGTGAGAGTAGGATATTGAAGTCTTGCACTATTATATATTCCTCATGGCCATACATGTAATTCTCCTACCATATTAATATAAGTCAACCATGCAAATGCATTTTTATTTGTTTATTGTTAATCCCATACTTGTTTATTGTATGATATTATGACATTGAACAAAGTCTTTTCACAAACTCAATGTGACTATAGAAAGACTTTCAAGGTTCTGGCACTTGCACAAGTATGTTGACCTTTGTATTCTTCTAGTATAGTAACATCATATTCAACTAAAAGTACTTCATTTTAGCCTCTAGTCTTTTCCAGACATCTGTGTACCCTTATACATATGTACAACCTTCTAGCCAGTAAGTATAAAGTAGTATTTTAAAGTTCTCATTAGAAACCCTAATTTCATTAACACTCTCTTGGCATGACTCTCTTAATGACACTGAAGTGCAAACATCAACAGGTCAAGTTTGACAAATAGTAAAAATAAGAATATTCAAATCAGAGGAAAGTAATTATAATTTTCATTATCCATTGATAGTATCTTGATTGGTAGTATTGGCTGGCCTGAAAAACAAACAAACAGATCCTCCTAACTCTGTTTCTGAGTGCAGAGAGCAAAGGCATGTATCACCATGCCTGGTTTGAGTTCCTTTCTTAGTCTACCTGGGTTCATCTGCCTAGGGTAAGATTGCACACAGTGGACTAAACCCATCTTAGTAAACCATGGAATGAATGTCATACAAGCTTGCCCATGGACCAGCATGAAGCAGGAAATTGCTTAATTGAGGTTTCTGTTTTGGGGTATGGATGTCACAGCTACAACAAGTTTTCACACCCACTGAAACACCACAGAAAGGACATCTCAAATCTAAAAAAGACAGGAGAAAATTTGATCTTGAAGTTTTAGCTCTCTTGTTCTTTTTCTTAGGCACACATTGAGGCTGTTGAGACCACTTATCCTTTTCTCTCTGTAGTTCCTGCTCCACACAATAAGAAATGGAATATTTTTTTCTATCCAGAAGAGACTGACATCATTGTGAAAGTGTAATCTTTTGTCTCAAGAAGCAATCTATTCAATTTCCTTTTCAATATACTGATATGCCCTTTCATGCTCTGTTATGCATATATTTATTAAAATGTTCCCATTTGCTTTCTGGAAGAAATTAGCATGATAAGATTTAATATCCTGACAAATACAACTTAAGAAATCAAGAGCTTATTGGGATTACAACTCCAAATTATAGTTTATCATTACAGTGACTTCAATGTTGTAAGATCTTGAACCACGGAGTCACATTATATCCACAGAAAATAGGAGGGAGCAATGAATAAGTGCATTGTGGGAAGCTATCCTTATCACATCATTGCCATTAACAAGTCTGTGCGCATGCGCTGGAAGGTTTTCCCGCCTTGATTAATCTGACAGTTGGAACACGTCATGTGGCCTGAGGCAACAGGAGCCCATCAGAGACTGCCACGTCCCAGGCGAGCTTAGCTCTCTATATAAGGGAAGGGTTTTAGGCCCTTGGGGTCCCTCCTCGTTTGTGAAGCTTATGCTCTCCCTCTCAAGATGCATTAAAGCTTATACTGCAGAAGGATCCTGAGTGTGCCGCGTCTTTCCTGCTGGCGGGAGGTTGCGCGGGACAGTGCATGTATGCTAGCATTCCACTGGTCCTCTCTGTCTTACAGCTCAAGATCCCCTACTCAGGACAGTGTTCTGCCAAAAATTAAGATGAGATTTTTCCAAATCTAACTAAAGACAATCACTCACAGATTGGATAAAAGACACTCTAACTTCAAAAATCTCCCACAGATGTCCCTGGTGGCATGCTTCATTTGTAGCAAGTTGACAATTAATACTACTTATAATATATAGACTTCTAAGTGTCACTTGAACTACATTTACCAGGTTATCAGTAAAGGACATTCAAGAGATAATTCTGGGAGAACAGCTGGTTTGTTGCAAGATTGAGCTGCTCTCACAAATATTATATGGGCCCAACTGAACTTTTAAGTGGCTTTGAGAAATAATATGCCATAATTCAACAATATCTCGGGTGTTGGAATTAGGTGTTTGAAAATCATTATTTTGTACTAGATTCTAACCAAGACAAAATATCTTGAGACCAAGTGGATCTAGCACAAGTACAAGAAAAGAACGAGGAAGAGAGAGAGAGACAAAGGCAGAAAAAGATAAAGAAAGAGAAACCATGGGTCTCGGGAAAAAGTGCAGGGAAAAAGATATAATTATATATTAATTTCAGAAAATTTTAAAAAAACTCAGAAAGCTTCAGGAAATGATAAAATCTTCCAGCAGCTGACTGAGACAGATGCAGATACTTATAGCCACTCATTGGACTGAGATCAAGGATCTATATAGAAGAGTTAGGGGAAGGAATGAAGGAGCTGAAGTGGGTGACAAGTTCACAGAAAGACCAAGAGTGTCAACTAACTTGGTCCCCTGTGAGCTTTCAGAGACTAAGCTACCATCCAAAGAGTACCATAGGCTAGTCTGAGGCCTGATGCATGTATGTAGCAGAGGACTTCTTTGTCTGGTTTCAGTTAGAGATGAGAAGTTTATGCCTGAGACTTGATGCCCAGGGAAAGGGAATTCTGGAGTTGGGGAACCCTCTCAGAAGTGAAGGGGAGGAAGGAAGGTGTGGTAAACTCTGGGAAGGGGTACTGGGAGGGGAAGCAATATTTGGGATGTACTTAAGTAAAATAACTAATTTTTTAAAAGAAGCCTGTGCATTTCAATTCTGAAAAGAGACAGTGGAGGGTCCAGATGGCAGGTTGGCATCTTACCTGTTATGGTTTGTGTGCCCTTTACCTGAGCAGTGGATGTCTGCCCAAGTAGAGGAAGGTGTATAGAATGGGTCAGGGGGATTGGACAGGGGAAAATGTCATAGACTTTTGTCATGACTTTCAAAAGAAGGAAGTGTAAGGGTTCAGACAGCAGGTAGGATTAATATCTTTTCTGGCTTGCAAGGGCCATACCTGAACAGTGAAGTGTCCTTGAGTAGTGGAACTGTGAGGGAGAAATAGAAGGGAAATGAGGTAGGTGTTGGGTATGAAAAATTTGGGTCTTTGTGCTCTGAATCAAGGGAGTGGGAAGGGAAGTGTTCAGACAGCAGATGGAGCTCATACTTCTTTTGTCTGGAGTTTTTATTTCTTAATTAGGATGCATGTTATTGCTTATTGAGACCTATTTATAGCATTACCCAATCTGATTAAGTAAGCAACACCAAGAAATCCTATAATCAACATACAACTCACCATACTTAAACACTTATATTCATATCTAACTGGTCGAAAAGAATCACATAATCACACTCATAACTATTATAACAGAAGTTCAGAAAATGAAACCAATCAGACACTGGATAAAGCATGAGAATTCCAAGAAAAATTAAGGCATTAGTCAGTATCCACTCAACTTCCCAGTGTCTCTGTCATTAAGAATTCTCATCTGTACTACATTCTTGTATTAAAAGGCCCAAGTTAGAGGAAGTATGCTCATGTATATGCCTAGCTCTAGTACTTAACAGTATTTGATCACAAACTTTGAAGAGCCTGTGGGTTCCAATGAGCCTTATCTGATGTTTTCTGAAAGAATAGCTGTGAAATAGCTGAAGATGATTCATGGTGATAAAAAAGTTTTGTTGGTGCTGATCAGTAAACCACTCTGAAGCGCACTGTGACCACTCTGTACCCTGTGGGGCCCATGAAGTGGTTTAGGAGTGTCAGACACAGTTGGCAACATAATATAGTTTCATAAGCTAGCAATTCCCAGTGTAACAAATCTTTCAGATGCTTCAGTGAGAAACAACCTGGATTTTTCCATCTGTATCAGTAATGCCACACTTGCTGATGCTGGTACCTACATCTGTATGAAGTTCAACATTGCAGACTCTGCCAAGGAGATTCAGTCTGGAGGAGGCAAGGTCAGCAGTATGACCTCATGTTTGCCCTTTTAAGAAACTATCCTTTATCATACATGTCTGAAAGATACTAACTTTGAAACTGCAATACTGCTGCTCTCAACCTCACAGGAAACCAGTGGTCAACAGAAATTTTTTTAAAAAATGTATTTATGGCAAACCTTTTACTTTTGAGATTTTATTCTTCCCCTTTTCTGTTCTAAATCTGTACTACCTATATGACAAGAAAATGTTGGCACAGGAAAATAGAGAAGCATGTACCCATCTCCCTATGAACTTTGTAATAGAACTTATGTTTGTGATTTCAGTAAAAGACTGAGTATTATACGAGCATTTTGACACCTGAATTCAGAAAACTCTCACAGAAATGAACAAGCCTGTCAGTTTCCTCAATTGATGTGTCTTCTTGTTTGCCTACCAGCTATTCCTAGTCCATGACAACCTACAATTTGTGTTGAGGCTGGATCCCAGCAGCAATTGCTGCCTGTTTACCTGGCTATTTTTAGAATTGCCTAGAAAACTGAAAGAAATCTTGGATCCAGGTTCCTTTAATTGTTTTAATATGGATATTAGCATCTGAGATATCAAATATATGCTTTAACACAACCAAAGATGTTTGTGATTGTTTCATTGATAGAGATGTTAGAACAGCAAGTTGAGATGTAACAATCTCTTTTACAATCTCTTTTGCATTAGAACAGCAGGGCTCACTCTGCTGCACACAACCTTCTAAAGCCCAATTAATGTGCCAAGGACACCTCTCAAGGAGGAAAACAAGGGTGCCTAAGGGTCAACCAAGAAACAGCCTTGTTCACCACCAAATTAAGGGCAAGTGTTTCCTGTACTGCACAAGTCTGCAGTAGAATAATTTCTGGGAACATAAATTTCTCCCCTTTACTCACAACTCTATATTTATGACATAAAATTTCAAAAACAGCTCTGTGCTTCTCCCATCTTATGGTCATCTGCACTCTATAATTAGCCCCTCTGGAGGAAGTGCTTGCTGCATTCATTGTTCTGTAAGAGCCACTGGTCAACTTAGTGAAAGGATCATTAAGAAAGAGGAGGATGCCAGTATATAGAAGTATCTGCTCCTTATGTGGGATTTTCGTGGTACAGCAGCAAACAAATCAAAGACGCATCTTAGTGTTTTGTATTGCCTTTCCTGCATGCAATGGGGAAAATGTAATTAGAGTATAATCCTAAAACTTGCAACAAGGGCACTAATAAGGATGATTTCGGCTCACATATTTAGGTGTGAGATTCTACCTTCATTTTTCTACTTTCTAGGGTGAAGTTTCTTTTCTTATTGGATATTTTATCTATTTACATTTCAGATATTATCCCCTTTCTCCATCCCCCCATCCATAAACTCCCTTTCCCATCCCTCCTCCTCCTTTTTGCTTTTATACAATTTTAATTACATGCAACTATTATGGTCAGTTCTAGGTTGAGGAACTGGCAATACAATAGATGCAAATAGTCAAGGAACAAGTAAGACAGTAAGCACAAATAGCAAAAGGAAAAGCAAGGCAGTAAACAAAGTCCTGTGGTCACTATTTCTAAGGGCTTATCATGATGACCAAAATATCTAAGCCTACTTCCCTGTCCTAGCCCAAAGTTATTTTTATGCCTGAAGCCTTCTTCTTTGTTCTAGCCTAAGATTTATACTCCTGCTTGTAATTACTTCTTTGCACTAGCCTAAGATTTAGATTTCGGCCTGAAATTACTTCTTTGTTCTAGCCTAGGACTTAGATTCCTTGATTTAGATTCTTTGTTCTAGCATAATGTCAGATACTTGGCTGTAGGCCATTTCCTTGTCCTTGGCCAATGTCAGATTCCTGCCAGGCAGCCCCAAAAGAACGCCATACCTCCTCTTTTTTATTTTGTAAACAAGACTAAGCCTGTCTTAGGTTGCTCTGACAAGAATGCCTTGTTTATCCATTGTGGGATATGCATTATCAAAAGCTATGCACTTCTGTTTTAGGCTTGTAAGACTCTGTGCAGAATCTTACCCGTTTTTGGTTTGCAATCTGTTAAATTAATAATTCTGCCTGCTGGTCTATTTGTAGTTTCAAGTCATATACTTTGTCTGCCAACATTCCAAAATAGGAATACTGACTTTAAGCCATGGATAATTTTATCAGCATTATCTGCAGCATCAAAGTTCAGCACAGCAGAGTTCTTTAAATTCATAATCTCACTATGCAAAGTTAAAACATCCAGAGAAGTATTAGAATTATGCCAAATACCCTACAAGTGTCTGTAATCTTTTTTTCTAATTATCTAGTATTTATGGAAGTATATTAGGAAAAGCATCAGCTGAGGACCACATTAAGAGTCAGTTCTCATCCCAAAGGAAATTATTTGCCCCAAAAGGACTAAGTTCAAGGAATAAGTGATAAAGACAGGAAATGGAGGCTAAGGGAGAAGTTGAAGGGATAACAAAGAACTTCTTTAGGAAACAAATATGACACATAAGAAAAGGGCAGATTATAAAGGTGAGATTGGAAATCCACTGTTGAGAAGAAGTGTTTAATTTTAATTGGGCATGTAAATTAGGTGAGCCAAAGGGGGCTTTTGATTGATGGATTTCTATTTTGATACTTCAATAGCTTTACCTTGGTATTCAAACTCAGGAGAAGGTAGAGGCCAAACAAGGAAACAAACTTCGTTGACTATCTTTTGCAATATAATCTAATGGTTTTTGTCAAGAATGAGGAAATGAGGGAGAAGAGCATTAGCCAGAGCCATGTTAACTGTATTCAAACTGGCCAGAGTCCCATGGAAGGTAACATTGATGCACATCAGATAAAAAGAAGAATTTAAGTTTATCTCCTGTTTAGTGTCAGATGAACTTTGCCTTTAACAAGGTTAACTTCTCTATGCACATTCACTCTGATCATAATCTTGCCCAAATTTTGAATACTGCAATCTGAGTAATGTCAGAACAGCTAGATATTCCTTATAAATGATAATTCGAAATAGTCCCTCAAACATGTAAGGACATCATTTGTGCTGGTATATAGATAGCTTGAGTTCAAATAACACCTGTTTAGTCTCCTGACTGGATGGATGCTTGAGGGGTAATCACATGTACAAAAACACAAGTGTGTATAATATTTTTCAAATGCAAACTGTTACACAAAAAACCTCTACAGGACACAATGCTTCCTTTTCAACATACCACAAATACATGTGCATTTAGGGCCATAGAGTATGTCTGTCTGCTTAACAGGCTTACATATGTGATCTTTGAGATTACAATTAGAAAATATCTCTGATTTCATTAACAGAAAGTAATCTCTGTTTTTAACTTCAGACTAAGTACAATTTAAGCCTACAAATGTAGATACTGACAATAAATTAGGTTCTTAATTATAAGTTCAGAAGTTGGCAAAGATTAGACATAAGACATTTAGATACAATGAAAGAAAAATAACAGCCAGGGAAATCAAGATGTGTTCCAGCTTTGTGTCAGTTCTGTTATGTATTTTATTTTCTGGGTTACTGTAGATGTAAATCTAGGAATATTTACCTTAGATTGTCAAAGTTTCATGAGGAGCTCTTCAGGAATAGATGACATGAAATATCAAACATATTTGTAATTGTTTTCTATGGTCAAAATTAGAATTTCACCTAGAATGTCATTTTAGCATTTACTCTTGTATATCTGTACTAAACTGTGCAGACATAGAATAAGAGATATCACAAAATGACCAGAACAAAAACCTGGGGTAAAATATTGAGGAGGAAGAGCAGCCAATATATGTGGCTAGCAAACAGGCATGCCATGCAAGTAGAGCCAGTACTTAGTGTGGCTGAAATTCTGACATTGATCCCCAGTACCACAATAAACCATGGTAATAGTAATACTGTCTGGGAAGGTTATTCACCGTATCTTGTCATCTGTAGTGGCCATCACAATCCCATCATTGTCTATATACTTCTTCATAGCTAAACCTTCTCCTCCTGTCATCTCTGAACCTGCAGTCAGAGTTGTGCCCAGGAAGACAGTGTCCTTCACATGCAGGTCCCATGGATTCTTCCCTCAGAATATCACACTGAAGTAATTCAAAAATGGAATTGAGCTCTCTCCCTTCCAAACTACTATGGACCTCAAAGAAGAGAGCATAGTCTACAAAATCTTCAGCATAGCTCAGGGGCTGCTGGGCCTTGGAGATGTCTGCTCTCAGATCATATGTGAGTTGGCCCATATAAACTTGCAAGGAAGACCAATTCTAGGGACAGCCAACATCTCTGGCATGATCCAAGGTAGATGTTTATAACCTCCTTTCTAGTCATATTGATTCTTCCATACCTCCCAAGCAAGTATTCTCATATACCACACATGAGGGAATCATAGACTACAATCAGCACATAAAGAAAATTCTATTTAGTTTAACAAAAGAAATTAAAGCTATACTATGAGCCACACGCCTCATGCATAGTATTTTCAAGCATTTTTTTTCCTAGTGTATACAAGTTTCACTTATAAGAATCCTGACTCATCACTGCTTGAGTCCTGTGTGTTAACAGCTGTACAACAAGTTGCATTCTTGGTTATTTTAGTGATATTCTGACAACTACAAACAAAGTAGAATATTAAGTCAGATTTCATTCTCACAAAGTAAAATATTAAAGTCAAATTTCATTCCCAGTTTCTCATAGGTCTCATAAATATTTCTACTGATGAACATATATATATATGAAATATGTAAGAGAGGAAGGTAACATTCAACCATAACCTCTTGTCTTTCCATTTTTTATGTAATATTTTATATAACCTCAAGTTTATATCTTTTCTTTACAATACCTTCTCTGCCTCCATTCCATTTTAGAGTTGTTCCTGAACTTCTGTGTCATCTCTGGAGTGCAATTCAAACAAGCTTTGTGAGAACCTGTTGTTTCCCAGTATCTTAGGTGCCCAGATGACTTGAAAATGTTAAAAGAGGCACCTTGCTTCTTTCTACTTTGAAGAATTAGACACACACACAAATATACATGACCCAGACTGAACATTTACAATGTGAAAATTCCAGCTTTGCTGCAATCTCTTTTTATTTTCAACCACCTTTTGAGTCAGTAGTTTCAAAGTCAGGTTATCTAGCTGTGGGAAAGCAATAGAGATATTGAGTTTTTGTCCTGAGGCCATGTGACCTGATCTAATGAAATAAAGGAAAATTGAATGTCCTGGGAGCATAGCTATGTCCAGAAAATAAGGCAATTTTGCTAGCAAAGTATTTATTTTCAACTTGTTACTATTCTAAGAAATAGTTTGAGTTAGATAGAGGTCCATCAACATGAATATGTTTTCTTTCCTTCTCATGAAACCAACAGGAGAGGTCCTCAACTCCAATGACTTTGAAAAATTCATGTGCTTTGGTATGCTGCCCTTGTGGTTATCTCATCTACTGATAAACACTGGGTCACCTAATTATCTATGTGCATGTCCATTACAACAGTAAAGATTGAAAGCTACAACTTCTTTAGATTAAAATCTATGTAATTCTTAACTCAGAAATCTTGAATGGCTGAGAAACACTTAAAGAAATGTTAATGTCCTTAGTCATCAGGGAAATGCAAATCAAAATGACCTTCAGGTTCCACCTTACATCAATCAGAATGGCTAAGATAAAAAAACTCAGGTGTTACTAGATACTGTTGAGGATGTGGAGAAAGAGGGACACTCCTCCATTGTGGTGGGATTACAAGCTGGTACAACCACTCTGGAAATCATTCTGCCAGTTTGTTAGAAAATTGGAAATAGTTCTACCTGAGGACCCAACTATACAACTCCTGGGCATATACACAAAAGATGCTCCAACATATGGGAAGGACATATGATCCACTATGTTCATACCAGTCTTATTTATAATAGCCAGAAGCTGGAAACAACCCAGATGTCCCTCAACATAGGAATGGGTATAGAAAATGTGGTACATTTACACAATGTAGTACCTACTCAGCTATTAAAAACAATGACTTCATGAAATTTGCAGGTAAATGGATGGAACTGGAAAATATCATCCTGAGTGAGGTAAGCCAGTAACAAAACAAAACAAAACAAAACAAAACAAAACAACAACAACAAAAAAAAAAAACACCACACACTTGGTATGTACCCACTGATAAGTGGATATTAGCCAAAAAGAAGCTCAGAATACATACAATACAACTCACAGACCATATGAAATCTGACAAAAAAAGAAGACTACACCAAAGTGTGGATGCTACACTGAGAAGGGAAAAAAAAATCCTGGAAATGCAGGGACAAAGAGTGGAGCAGAGACAGGAGGAAAGGCCATCCAGAGACTGCCCCACCTAGGGATCCATCCCATTTGCAGACCACAAACTCAGGCACTATTGCTGATGCCAAGAAGCGATTGCTGACAGTAGCATGGTATTGCTGTAATCCTGAGAGGCTCTGCCAGAGCCTGACCAGTACACATGCGGATGCATGCAGGCAAACATTGAACTGAGTGTGGGGACCACAATGGAGGAGTTAGGGCAAGTACTGAAGGAGCTGAAGGGGTTTGCAACCCCATAGGAAGAACAACAATAACAACCAACCAGATCCCCCAAACCTCCCAGGGACTAAACCACCAACCAAAAAGTACACATATAGGGGGACTCATGGCTCCAGCTGGATATGTAACAGAAGACTGCCTTATTGGGCATCACTGGGAGGGAAGCCCCTTGGTCCTGTGGAAGCCCGATGACTCAGAGTAGGAGAATGCTAGGGCACTGAGGCAGAAGTAGGCGGTTGTGTGGGGGAGCACCCTCATAGAGGCAGGGGGAGGAAGGAAGGAACAGGAGGTTTGTGGAGGGGAAACTGGGAAGGGATATAACATTTGAAATGCCAATAAATAAAATGACCAATAAAATGGAATAAAAATTATATTTGGAAGAAAACATAAAGATTAAGCAAGATTGCTGTCAGAAACTTTTTTTTTTTTACTTTCAAACCAAATATAATCATTTGATTCTTAATCTGTGGATACTTTTAGTTGCTGGGGGCTGCTTTTACAAAATATCTTTGGTTATGCTTTCATGCATAAGCCCAGGTGAAGTTGCCAGGTTAAATACGAAAACTAAGATCTATTTAGATTCTGTATAACTATACCCTCTTGTGGCTCTGTCATGTGTACTCATATAGTACAAATGCAGTCCACAGATGGTGGTCAGGTAAATACTGATATTTTCCCTCAAAATCAGTGCCATCATTACATTCAATGAAATTAACTATAATTCCAAAAGATGATTTAAAAATAGACTGTATTTAGAATTACTTTTATAGGCTATCGTGTACACAAAACTTAAGTTGTATTTCATCCTTAAATCCCAGTCAGCTTTTGTTGTTAGTCTTGGGACCTCAAAAATCTACTCTAATCTGTTAAAATGGTGAAATCAATTTCCCTTAAGGTTTATAAAAACTTAAATTGCTCGTCTGATATTGGGTATATTGTTGAATGTTGTAATTTTTGGAGAATTTTTTCATTTTATCTGAGTTTTCAAACTTTTGCTATAAAATTTTTCAAAAGATTTTATTGACTTTTTAAGTGTAGGGTCTATAGTGATATTCCACTCTCAGGGTTGGTGTAGAAAACTTGCCATTTCTCTTTCATTCCATAAGTCTTTCTAGACACCCAGAGCACAACTGGGTTAGTGAGGTAAAAATTGAACAGTGCAACCCATACAGCAGAGAGATCAAGCTTACATACCAACCAGCCTCTGAAAAAAATGGGGAAGAACAATTGGCTCTTCACGGCCAAGCCTCTGATTTGTGATCTAATCTTGCTGAAAGTCATTGCAGCTCAGCTACCAGGATCTGTGCTGGGGTGAAGGAATTCTGGGAAAGAAAAGGACAGCATTTTATTAATAGAATAATTATTCCACCTATTTATTTAATATGGCTTAATGTTAACTTTTCTTCCTAGGACTGAAGCTTGAGATTCCACTCTCCTGATATAAAGTTTTTATTCCTTGGATTTTATTGCTATTCTAATGATATTGTTGGATAATAATGGAGATCCTGCACCTGCCCTGCTACAGGGCTAGGGCTACTACAGAAGGCAGAACATGGGAAATTTGACTGCACTAAATCCACACTGGTGCTGTGGGAGTGAGGCTATGTGAAGCCGTAGGACCCTGCTCCAGGAATGGGGGAGGGCAGTCTGAGGTCAAGGGTGGAGCTAACTGAGGGGGGTGTCCTGGGCCTAAAAGGCAGATAGGGACCATTTGGTTCTCAGGTTCTTTGGCATCCTGGTGCCACTGGAAGTCGCAGAAGAGCTGAGAATAAAGTGAGGGCACATGGGCTGGATTGGCTCTCAGCTAAAGGGGAGAGGGAGAGAGCACTCCAGCTGCACTCTGCAGGGAGAATCCTTGGCTTCTCTCAGAAGTTGACTTGGCTTGGGTTGGTTAAAGGTGGCTTGCTTGGGTTGGTGGTTGCAGCGTCTGAGAATGCAGAGAGGTCTTCTGCTGGTGGGCTCTGTAGGTGAAGGCCTGTTCCATTGCTTCCCATGGTGAATCCTGATGAAATAGAAACAGTTCATGGTTTTAAGGCTTTCATTGTCATGGTGGCAAGTAGATGAGAAACCATATCCTGTTTTCTCAGGGAGGCCCTGAGGTTAAATACTTTTTGCAGGGAGGAGTGTAGTGGAAGGAAAGCTTAATTGGCTAAGCCCTTCTGGACTTTAGGTATCTCATTAAACCAGAGATCTGTCTTAAGGATATGTGTCCTGTAGTCACACCCTCTACCTGTGGAGGGGCTAGAGGGGTTGCCCTATGTGACTGAAGGACACAAATTGTGGAGGGCTGTGGCCTCATGTCAGGAGCCTAGTGTTTGGGGCTGAGGAGAAACACCTGCTGTCCCTTAGGATCAACTGGGTCTCACCTGGGACCTTCAGGATCACCTGGGGTCTCCAGAGGTTTCTAGCCTGTGCTCGACCAGGCTGCCTTTTGAGGTCCCACATGATATCATCTCCTTCATTTGTTTGAACTGATCTTGTTGGTTTCCTTGAGATGTGGGACAAGAACTTTCAACGCTTGGTGAAAAAAATATTACCTTTCTAACTATAGTCTGCCAGTTTAATATAAACAGTTACAGCCAGTGTTCCCATTATTGCTGGGATCATCAACACCACTAGTTCAGTAATCAGAAATGAACTGAGAATCAGTTCCAAATCCTCCTATTTGAGTCCTATTCTAACCATGGTAACAGGTTAGAATATCAAGAATGCACTCTATTGTGGATGTAGGAGAACCAGCACTGTGATAGTACTGTGGATGTCAAAACAGGTATGAAACAGCTGGTCTAAACAAAGGAGACGTGATCACAATGCAGAAACAACAAAAGACTTCACAACTCCTCAGAGAGATGGAGCATATGATCGCCATTGAGAATTTTTCAGACTGAAGAGGAGAAAGGAGGCAATAGGATTTATAACTTAGCTATGCTGCATAAAGTTGGGCACCTGCCTCTTCTTATGGCCCTTATCAAGATCATTGAATTTTTGTTTGTATGTGATTTCAGGCAATGACATAGTTTCAATTCTGTTGATGTGATAATATACCTTGACCAAAAGAAACACAATAAATGAAAGGTTTTGTTTAGCTTATAATTCCAAATTACCTAAGGAAGGTCAGGCAGAAACTCAAACATCCCATCCACAATCAAGAGCAGAGAGAAAAAAAATATACCCATAATTTCTGTTTGCTTCCTGATGTTCAACTAGCTTTCTTCACTTTTTCCATCTTCAAATGTGGGGTCCAGTGTCTAACGAAAAGATGCCACCTGTATTCACAGTGGTATTAACACCTCTCAACATTACCATCAAGAAAATAATTCATATAACCACCACAGGCCAACTTGATTTAATCAAGTATTTAATTGCAATGTTAAGCAATTTTAGATTAGTAAGTGAACATTAAGTAACAGATAATGTATTATAAACTTGAGGGAGTCAGAAATCACACTTTGGATCCTTTTGTTTTTCACAACTCTCCAGTGTTGGGAGTATAGGTATGGGCTACCAAATTATTTCTGTTGTTGAGTATGGTGTTCTGGAGATTGAGCAGAGGGTCTCTGTATGTTAGATAAACACTGTACCCAGTAAACTGTGCACCCAGCCACTTTCTACACTTTTTTAATTGGATGTTTTATTTACATTTCATATGTTATTCCCTTACCCCAAAGGACAAAGGACACTGCCAATAGAACAAAACAACAACCAACAAATTGGAAAAAGATTTTACCAATCCTACATCTGATAGAGGGCTAATATCCAATATATACAAAGAACTCAAGAAATTAGACTCCAGACAACCAAATAACCCTATTAAAAAATGGGGTATGGAGCTTAACAAAGAATTTTCAACTGAGGAAACTCAAATGGCCGAGAAGCACCTAAAGAAATGTTCAGTATCCTTAGTCGTCAGGGAAATGCAAATCAAAATAACACTGAGATTCCATCTCACACCAGTCAGAATGGCTAAGATTAAAAACTCAGGCGATAGTAGATGCTGGCGAGGGTGTGGAGAAAGAGGAACACTTCTCCATTGTTGGTGGGACTGCAAGATGGTGCAACCACTTTGGAAATCAGTGTAGTTCTTCCTCAGAAAATTGGACATAGCACTACCTGAGGATCCAGCTATATCACTTTCTACTCTTAAAAACAAATTTTAATCTTTTGTTAACTTCAAAATTAAAGTATTGAAATGTTAACTTTAAAATTTAAATTTGTTCTTCAAGAATAACAGAAAGATTTCAGGGGGCATCTACACTGGGGTAGACATGCTCTACATGATGATTGAGGCCCCCCAACCATGAAATATATTTTCAAAGATTCTCATCTATACTGTTTTTATCCTTTATGTGCATGCTTTCTAGCATGTGGTTTCATCAGGCTGTTTTTCGCTTCTTCAGGGACTCTTCTTTCTCAAGAATCTGAAATTTACTAGGATGCTTTTATTTAATGAAGGAAACCTCTAAACTCTCTTTCTCTCCATTTGTAATCCCATTTCAGACATATGTCCTGTTGACAGATACTTCTGGGTACTTGAGAGACTGAATCAGTCTTGGTCCAAGCACACTATCCAAGGAATCATTCTAAGAACCACCAATGAGAAATATCACTGTATCCCACTAACCTTGTGACCCTTCCCAGGGATCAGTTTGTCCAGCATTGTAGGATCTGTAGTCTCTGACTCACAGGATCCTAAAAGCATTTAACAGTTGACAGAAAACTACAAGCCTCTTTCAATGACAGGAAATAGTTCATTCTGGATCCAATTTTCAGTGACCATGTCACAGAAACACAGATTTGGGTCACCTAAAATCCCACTGTGGTAACAGTTAATAATTTTTTTGTAGGAACAGAATGACATCATCAATAAAGACACTTTTAAAATTAATTACTGGAAACATGGAAGAGGTGGGTGATAAATATAACAGAGAAACCTGGTTGAATCGATGCTATCTAATGAAATCCTTAGAATCTGGATTGGTTGAAACTAGTGTTCTGCTAAGTTATTACATTTTAAAAGAAAGCTAGTATTCTTCTCATACATTACAAATGACCCACCTAATTGCCACAAAGCTGTTTGGTCAGGTACAGAAGAAACCAATATATGGCTTTTAAGAAGATTAAATGATACAAAATAATTTGGCTTTGGATCTGCAACATGATAGACTCTCTAATTCATTGAAGTTCTAAAGATCTAATCAGTCTTGCAAAAGGTTCTGTTTGTAGGTTCAACTTCATCTGAAATTTTGTTCACAATTGTAGTGCCATGTGACACTGAGTATACATTCTTACTCACTTTCCTTAGAAGGACAAGTTGATGATCTGACATAGGGCCAATGAAAAAATAGACACTTTTTAATACATCTTCTATTTTACACTGGTGCTTTGAATGGGAACAGAGAACATACTCAAAATTCTCAGAAGTTGATGGTTTTAGCAGTCCACAGATGGATCAAAAGAAAAGTGATGGGACATTTCTAATGTTTTCTCCTGCTCCTTGGTTTTCAGAACTGAAGAAAACAAACTACTGCTAGTATCCTTGTAGCTGTGTTCCTTGGACACAAACTGTTGTTGATAATTGGTGTCTTTGTAATGTACAGGCACAAAAAGCAGAAGGCTTGGTTGTAAGTTAGGAATTATATAGGTATATTAGTTTAGTTAATTTCTGTTGCTGTGGCAAAGCACCATGACTAAAACAGCTTATGAAAGAAAGGGTTTATTTGGCTCCTTACTATTTCAGTATCACATGAGCCCATCATGCTGTAGAGAAAAGGCAGCCAGCACAGACAAATGAGTACTCACATTTTAGCAGAATTCATACAACAGGTTGAACAAACTAGAAGTGGCAAAAAAGATTTTAATCTCAAGGTTCTCCTGTGACATACTTCCATTAGCAAGGGTATACCACCTAAATCTTCCCCAACAGTGCAACCAACTGGAAGCCAAGAGACAAATATCTTAGAGTATAGGGAATGTTTTTTATCCATGCTATCTGATGTGTATCAGTCTATTGACTAACATAGAAGGGGCAGGATCAGTAAGAGGGCCATGCCATTGATCACATAAAGTTAGAATTTACAGTAAAGACCTTTTAATAAGGCTTCTTAAGAATCTTGTGGAATACTTTGAGACATCCCAAGCTCCCTGATCATGTATGTGTAATGTAGAATTGTTCAGTCCAGGATCAATAAAGGTTACCAAAGTGGCTTTCATGATATGATGGTCATAGGCCCAAGGGCAGAATGTGGTATATTAGCCTCACTGCTCATGTTTGAGGTGACTACAGTAAAAGAAGGACAAAGATTCCATGTAAAATATCAACCTATATTATGGGCCAAAATTTAGACATTTCAGATGGCCTGTAGTAATGACTATTTTTTTTTGATGTGTCTGTGATCATAAAGAATAAAATCCGAAGACTACACAACTCAGGAGCTAGGCTGAAATGATGCATGCACTACTATGATATCCACTCAGGACAAGAATGATAGGAGGAGAGCTGTGTCAGGGACACTGTAACACTAAGATAATTTGTAAATGATGAAAGAAGTATCAGTCAGAATTGATACTACATGGTTTTCCAATTCATACTCTCCCACATTGGATCCTGAATATCCACCATCATCTTTCTTACAGGAGCTCAGTATTGAAATAGAAGCTTAAGAGAAGCTGTAGAAGACCACTCCTCATGACTCTTTTAGAAGAAAAACTACAACCCAGAAGTTCTTGTTGTTCCTCTGCATATGCCTTGTTATCCCAGAGTTCTGATGCTGTGTGTATTGGGTTGAACTTTTATCATTAAAGTAATCTAAGGATGGACCTAAAGGTAAAGAATAGTCTATTCAAATATAAAGAAATTTCACAGTGCAGGCAAAGTATAAATCTCAGCAACCTCATGGAGGAGAACAATGAAGGAGAAAGGGGGTATACACTCTTGCTGTTTCAAAAGGCATGGATGTCAGACACATAATGGATAAACTGCCACATGGTGGAAAGGAGTAGAGATTTAAAAACATTAAAGTATCTAAAAGTATCAAAACTGGTATATATGGGTTCTTGCCAGATCCAAAATAAAGAGACCAAGTAAATAGAAGAAAAGTCCAGCCTCAGAAAGGTAGACATACTTCAACATAGAATTTAGGGCTGCACTGGGTAGGAAAAGCTCTGGGAAGGTAAGAGTTATCAAGTAATGTAGAAAAATATTTGATTTCTTTATTTGCATCCCAAATGTTGCCCCTTATCCTGTAACCCTTGCAGAAATTATTTGTTGTACCCTCCCTTCTTCTCAGAGAGGGTAGGTCTACCTTGTTATCCCACCACCCTGGTGCATCAATTCTTTGCCAGAAAAGCACATTGTATCCCACTAAGGCTCTATTGGGGAATGGACACCACCATCATGCCATAGCTTTAGGGAGAGTCTCCACTACAATTGTTCATAGGCTCATATGTAGATTGAGTTGCATCTCTGCTGCATATGTGCCAGGGGCTCTCATTCTTTGGTTGGTGACTCAGCCTTTTGAGAACTCCCAGAGGTCCAGGTTAGTTGACTCTGTCATCCTGTGGAACTCTGATCTCCTTTAGAGCCTTCAATCTTCCCAACTCTTCCATAAGAGTTCCTGGCCTCTGTCCAATGTTTGACTGTGGATATTTGCATTTGTTGTCAGTTGCTGGGTAGAGCCTATCAAAGGATAGCTACGTGAGGTTCATGGCTGTAAGCATAACAGAGAACTCAAGATGTTAGACTCTAACAAACCAGATAACCCAATTAAAAATGGGGTGCAGAGCTAAACAGAGAATTCTCAATAGGAGAATCTGGAATGGACAAGAATCACATAAAGAAATGCTCAACGTCCTTAGTCATTGGGAAAATGCAAATTAAAATAACCCTGAGATTCCACCTTATAACAACCAAAATGGCTAAGATTATAAACTCAAGTGACAGCACATGCTGGTGAGGATGTGGAGAAAGGGGAACACTGCTTTATTACTGGTGGGAGTGCAAACTTGTACAACCACTCTGAAAATCAATGTTGTGATTTCTCAGAAAATTGGAATAGTTAAGACAACAAAAAGAGATCAAGGGAATACAAATTGGAAAGGAAGAAGTCAAGATATAACTATTTGCACATGATATGATAGTATACATCAGTGGTCCCCAAAATTTTATTAGAGATCTCCTACAGCTGAACGACTTCAGCAATGTGATTGCGAATAAAAGCTTCAACATAAGATCTTAAAGCCTATCACTGCAGTGGCTTTCTTCAATCAACAAGGCCACACCTATACCAACAAGGCAATATTTCTTAATAGTGTCACTTCACATGGACCAAGAATATTCAAACCAGCACACAAGGTCTTTCTATGTATTCTTGACTATTCTGGATTTTATGCTGAATACCAGGTTAGCCTTGAACTCATAACAATTGACTTGCCTCTGCCTCCTGAGTTCTGGAATGTGCTGCACTATTACATCTGCCTAGGAAAAATTATTCCACTTATCTCATTAGTGTGATGTAAAGAGGGTCTTTTGCCTGTGTGATTGACCTTGCCCACCAGGAACATTAGGTCTCCACCAAGGTCAATATTGTATACTCCTAAATATAATTTTTATTTACTGAGCTTTTATTGTTACTCTAACACTCCTCTGAAAAAATAGCCCTAAAGTCATCTGGAAACTAAGTCATGGATAAGAATCTCTAAGCATTTTTGTTATTCCTGGTATTTGGAAAGGATAAGGTTGTAAAGAGGCCAGAGAATATTTTTAGCTTCTAGACAAAAAAGAAATTGGTTGTTTCTTTCAGGTCTTTTTACACTAAATATCCTGTTCAGTAACCACTTCTTATTCTTATCACAATGTCTTCAGCAGTAGTATGAAAAGAAGTTCTGATTCCCTCTTCATAGTATGAAGAGTCCCTTCCTCAGTGATTCTGGGTGTCTACTATCCACTGTCATTGGGTTGATTATCACTGCACACTTTACTCCATGTTCTCTGATGCCACCCTGACACTGGATTCTACTCCACGCAAATTCCAAACTTCATTGATGTTCTCTGTTTATCTATATCATACTTTTAAGAATAATAATTATTCTATTTTCCTCAAGAATTGTATGGTAGTTTAAACATGCATGGTCCAGAGAGTAGCACTATTAGGAGGTGTGACCTTGATGGAGGAAGTATGTCACTGTAGGGGTGGTCTTTGAGATCCTGCTAGCCTTCTAGGAACCAGTCTTCATATTTTTGCCTTCAGAACAAGATGTATAACTTTCAATTACTCCAGGGCCATGCCTGCCTAGGCACTGCCATGCTCCTGCCTTGATGATAATGGACGGAACCTCTGAATATATAAGGCAACCTCAATTAAATGTTGTTCTTTATAAGAGTTTCATTGATAGTGGCATCTCTTGACAGCAATGGGAACCCCAGTTAAGACAGATTGTCAACAATAAATAAATAAATAAATAAATAAATAAATATTCTTCACTCTTTGAGATGAAAATATATCACCTTTATTGTTCACATCTTCACTGTTCAAGGTACAAATGTGACAAAAATTCACAGAGATAAATTATTTTCTTTCTCTTTCTTGTCCTTCTCTCAACACAATGATGACTTTTAAATGGGTATCACTATTATTGAAATGATAAGTCTACAAAAGTGGTTCTGAAAGAGTAAAAAGTACTGATCTGTAGTGCTTGTAACATTCCACCATATAAATAATCAAGTTAATTTTCAAGTAGCCAAACTTGTATAATCCCTAATGTCCAGCCATGACAATTTCTCAAGAACTAATCCAACTTGTACGTATACACCACTGCATTGTCTAACAGCCTGACCATCACTTACCTCCTCTGCTTCTCAACAGTTACCACAGAATGTCTTAAGGTTTCTTTCCAAAGCTCTTCCAGCTTACACTTTTGCTACCAGAATATGTCAAGAAAATAAGTTGAATAGGTTGACCCCTCTGCTTCTTCCAAATAAATTGTAATAGATTACTTTCTCCCTTTCTGCCTCTAATAAATATCACTTTGTCAATGGACCTTTCCTCACATAATTATATACAAGTTTGGATAACATAAAGCCAATTCTTCTGTGAAGTTGCTCTGTATCTTAAAATGAAGAATACCTCAGTTTCATTTCCTGTTGCTGTGATAAAATACACTGATGTAACAATTTTAAGTTTTACAAATAAATCAAATTTTCAGTCATTGTAGTAGGAATGTCAAGGTTACAGTATCTTGAAGCACTTGATCAGATCACATCTACAGTAAAAAGAAGAGAATAATCAATGGCCCAGTTCAGCTTTTTCCTTTTTATCATTCTAGGGTTCAAGGAAATGATACCATCTACCTTTAGAATGTGACTCCTCACATCAGTTACTGCTCAACTTGTTGAGTCAAACTGGCACGCCCAAGCACAAACCTAATCTGCAAAATTCTACACCAGAGTATTCAGAGACTTAGCACATATGTGATTCAGTATTGATACTGATACTGAATACTATTGATAATCAGTATTGCCATTAACACACAATGGTCAGCACTTTGCTAACAAAGGATATAATTGACCCTAATGATATTGAGCATTTTCAATTGACATCTGTGGAAAAGTCAACAATGAACTTTATACT